GAGGAGGCAGCAGCAAATGCAAGCCGCAGCCAAGTCGCAATCTGATAAGAGAACTGGAGAGTCTGAAGATGCAACATCGTCAACATCAACCACCACCACCACCACACCCACCTCAACTGCATCTTTTTCGGCGAATTTGGACCGTTTCTTGGAGTATACAACCCCTAAAGTTCCTGCTCAGGTACTTAAGAGATGTATAAATTAACTACAAGGAACTTGCAGTAATCTTTTTCCCTCTATATATCGTTGCAGTTTTTAAAGTGCTATCTTTTGGTCTGTTGAAGCTCAACCTATCTCGTAATTTGTATTTTTTTTCAATAATCTATTATGGAAAATTAAGTAGTGGCAGTAAGTTGCAAGTTTTTATTAGAAATCTTCAGTAAATGATAACAATGATCTCTACCTATTTTTCAATCTACATTAAGCATAGAGAGCATGGATTCTGAGTTTCCTACGTGTTTTATGATTACCACGCTCTGCATGTTTATATGCATACCTGGTATAAAATGTACTACCTCCGTCCCAATTTGATGATACCATTGCCGTTTACGAAGTTTGACGGATGATAAAGCAAACGGATCCATGTCGGCACTCAAATTATATTTAGGGAAAAAAATTACATATTCAGAAACTACATTAAAAGCTTTACAAAGTCGCAAACACCTGGATCAAATTTATTAAAATTTGATACATAAAGTAAGAGATTAAGAGTGATTTGTGTTGGCCAAGTGAATAAGAACTGGTACCATCAAATTGGGACGGAGGTAGTACTTTTTGTTACGATTACTTCCCACATATATCACGCCAAAAATGTTAAATGTCAAGTTTTTAAATTCTTCTATAGATGAAATCAACTTGGAACATTTGGAAATGTGCAGACACGCATGAGATCTTGGAGATATCATGGCAGTGATTTCAGCCCATACTTCATTTTGGATGATCTTTGGGAATCTTACAAGGAGTGGAGTGCATATGGAGCAGGAGTTCCTCTTGTATTGAATGAGAGTGATTCTGTGATACAGTATTATGTCCCATACTTGTCTGGGATTCAACTATATATAGACCCATCCAGGCCAGTTGCGGGTTCACGGTAAGATTGTTGTAGATACCATTCATTTCTGGCCCCTGCTACTTTTTGAATGAAGATTATTTCATTAACTGCATGGAATGCATAAGCCCCTTAAATGTTCAATTTATCAGTTCTTAAATGTGTCTTTCTTAAGGAGTGATTGTTGGATTTTAGTAGGCCAAGAATCTCATTGTGGGGCCCAACTCTGAGACACACACTTGTAAATTAAGTAGTCAACAAGTTTTTGTTAAAGCAAACACATGGGCTAGTTTAGGGTTAGGTTTCTCATTCCCTCTCAATTAGAAACTCTCTAACCAAAATCATACACTATCATATCCGTGTTGCGCATTGCACTGAAAGAGAAAAACAACTTCCAGTTTAAGAGGCTCGTCACATAGAGTGATATAGATAAATAAGTAATTTTGTTTGATAAAGATGAATACAACAAAGGTTGACCCATTTAATGATGATGTGTTTGATTTTTTAGGGCTAGAGCCGAGGGTGGTATGGTATTGATTTTGATGATTAGTTAGTTGGACTTGCTATGCTAAAATTGTCTTGCTTTGATAAACATTGTGTTGTAAATTAAGAGCCCATTTGGTTACACTGGGAATTGGTTGCATCGGCTGATTTTGCTGAAATCTACAAAGTTCTGGTTGAGGAGGCTGTATTGGCTAATTCTGCCAATTTAGAAAAAGTTATATTTAAAATATATTTTATTAATAAAATAAAGAAAATAGTATATGAAAAAAATACCGTAAATGGTCCTTTATAATGACTACAACCAATTCAGCCAGAAAAGTAACTCCAACCTTACTTATTTTGATTATTACACAATTCAGCATGCGAAATCAAAAGTTACGTGTTTGGTAAAATAACTGGTTCTAAAAAGTTGGTTGATAAACTGAAAAACAGGGTCGCTAAATGGGCTCTAAAAACTAGATGTTGGAAAATTAACTTAAGGCTGTACAAGCTTACTCAAGTTTGTAAGAATGTCCTCCACCTTTTATCTAAATAGAAATACTCAGATCTGTAAGCAATTTTTTTGAAGAGGGAAGCTATCTTGATAATTTTCGTTTTTCTGGATACCTGTATTCCTCGTGTTTGCATGTTTATGTCAGCTATAAATGGACAACTAGACTACTGGCTTGAAATCTTGCCTTTTGTAATGGTATCAAATTTCATGTTAAACTCTATTTGTCACTGTATGTGAGGCTTATAGGGTGACACACTTGTCTGCTTTATATGTGGGATATCCTCCTATATTAAAATGTGCTAAATGTGGTAATTTCTACCAATTACATCCTCGTTGTGTTCTTGTTTCGTTATTATAGGAGACCAAGTAAGGAAACCGATGCCGACACATATAGGGAGACAAGTAGTGAACATGCTGGAAAGCGGAACCAGCAGAATGCAACTGCAAATGGATTTGATAGACCATCATCAATAAACAATTCCTCCTTGAATGAGACAAGTAATCCACCTGGTGTACTTATGTTTGAGTTCTTGGAACAAAACCCACCACAGAATCGTCAACCTTTGACTGATAAGGCAAGTAATCTTTACTTGCAGGGGGTTAAGTTTTTTTATGTGTATCTTCAAAGAGTTATGCATCTTATGTTTGCTTGTCCGCATAACAGATCATAAGTCTTGCATCTCAATTCCCTGAGCTGAGGACTTATAGGAGTTGTGATCTGACACCTGCTAGTTGGATTTCCGTGGCTTGGTAACTACTCCCCCCCAAATGCTCACACATTTGGTAGGTGTGCCAGTCCATTGTAATAATCGAATGACTGTTCTTATTTTGAAGGTACCCAATTTACCGTATACCTATAGGCCCCACACTGCAGAGCCTTGATGCTTGCTTCTTGACATTTCATTCTCTTTCAACATCACATGATAGTAAGTTTTTCACCATATCCACAATAGTTTATTTATTTTCAAACCCTAAGGTTGTTCGTGAATCGGTAAATATTAGGTAAGAAAGGGAAAGGAAATAGAGAGGAAAATGAGAAGGAAATTTAAGGACAGTCTCATACTAAATACTCCCTCCGTCCCATTTTACTTGTCCTACTTTCCTTTTTGGGCTGTCCCAAAATAAGTGCCTCCTTTCCTTTTTTGGAAAGAAATCTATGGTTCACACCATTTCACTTTATTATACTCAAACCTCAACCACAACTTTTACTTTTTCAACCACATCATTAATAACCGTGCCAAGTCAAACTAGGACACATAAAATGGGACGGAGGTAGTATATTTATTTTAGATTTTTTCAAATCATTTTATCTATTATTCTATTATATGCTCTAAAAAATTTAAATATATGTAAAAAATTAATCATATATTCATGTTCCATTTGAATTATCTATGGTAAAGCCATACCTCACAAAAGAACCTTCCTTGGCATTTCTTTTATTTCCTCGAGAATATTTTGGAATCAATGTTACTTTGAGTGTAAATTGTCCCCGAGTTTGAGAGATGCATTGATTTCATTTTGTCCAGGTACTACTAGGAGGAATGACTTGCTACATAATCATGGATCAACAAGCAGTAGTAGCAGTAGTAATAGAGGGATGCATAATCATGATAGTACTAATAATAATATGACCACCAACAATAATAATTATAATAATAAGAATGGCATGCCCGTCAAGCTCCCACTTCCAACTTTTGGGCTTGCATCTTACAAGTTTAAAGTTTCTTTCTGGTCTCCAAGTGAAGAATATGAATCTGAAAAGATCAATTCTCTTTTACTAGCTGCTGACAAGTGGCTTCGACTATTACAAGTCGACCACCCTGATTACAGGTTCTTTGTTTCACGTAGCACATACTTTAGGTGATCTTTCAGATTTCAATCCACACATGACTTAAGTTCCCCCTTAAGAGGAGATCCTTCCGGTGTGTTCATCATTGACTGTGAATCCTATACTATATGGATTGTCTTCATTCCTTGTGCCTTCCTAGCTTCTTGGCTCAGAAGCACAAAGCAGTGTTTTCAGTCCTCATTGCAAAAGAATGCTGTAGTTACCTAAGTTGTGTCTATGGTGGTACCCATAGGATACAAGTATGTTTCGTTGTGGTTGTCACATCCATTTTTTTGTAACTTAACTTCATCAACAAATAGGGGTTGATGTATCTGATAATGAGGGAGGGGGGAGCTAGCCATATTTGTAAACAACTCTTTGAATTCTTGTATTATTAGTAGTATTATTTATCATTATTATTGCACTTTTACAGAGTAGATTCTCTAATGTTTGTGTTATCTTTCACTGGATGGATATTTGAGAGTTCCAGACTGCCAAATGTTTGCATATTACGGAGTAGTATTTACATGCTGTGATGCCATTCTATGTGTTCTTATAATTGTATTTACACACTGTTCTTGTACCAGTTATACTCTATTAGTCGAGTGTAATTGTGTAATTGTTGTGCGTGTTGAGGGGATTCTGGTACCAATACCAGCAAAGTACACTTTTTTCTTTATTTTCTAGAACTAGAATGTCATTACAAGTTTTGAATCAAGTTGTGGAATTTTCAACTTATATCTTTAATGTGATGTTCCAAATCAGTTCGAATTTTGAGTGGGCAGATAGATTTTTTATTTTGATCCAAAATCATACACCGAGAACTCCTAGAAGGCAGCATTTGACACTATCATGTCAAATTTGCTTGCACGGTATAATATTTTCAATCCTAAGGTCCCAGGTGATGAAGCACAGATGTTTTATACTACCCCCGTTCTTAAATAAATGCAACGGTCAACGTTTCACACTTGCCGAGATACAACTTTGAGTTTTGACCATTAATATAAATAATTTTGTATTAGTAAATAAATTTAAAAAATTAGATTATGAAAATTTACAATGAGACAAGTTTAACAATATCATGTCAAATTTGCTTGCACGGTATAGTATTTTCAATCCTAAGGTCCCAGGTGATGAAGCAAAGATGTTTTATACTACGTATATATAAGACTGATTAAAGACCAAAGGGTATAGATAACATACTTATCCCTATAATAAGTTGGGTTGTTGGTTTTTATTTGTTAGATACAATTATTTTTTTATAAGCAGTAGTTTGCAGGACTTGAATACATCATATACATGTGTTCAAGCCATTCATTCATACACACATTAATGAAATATAAAGACTAAATTGGCTATTACTACGGTACAGTTTACATATGTGATCCGCTTCATGCGGTCATGCCCTCACTCAGCTCACTGCCTCAAACCATCGCTCTCTCCTTGACCGCATAACAACTGCATATTTGCTTAGACGCTTTTAAAAAAAGTAGACAACATAAGAGATTGAACAAATTCACATCTCTCTGCATTCTCTTCTTGGTCCTCAGAAACATGAGATGGTACGCCATTTCTGTACACACAATGAGAAGTCAGTAATCACCAAGACTAGCTGGGAGGGAGCTAAAAAAAAACAGGCAGAGCACATGATTGCCAGTAAAGAAAGAATATAACATGCGCCTAGTAAGCCAAATGGATGTATCTTGGCCTAATTTTCCGTTGGGGCAAGGCATCAGGAGCCACCGCCACATTTTTAAACCGTATAAAAATGCAAACAAATCAGAAAGTGCACAATCGATACTCATAAGGAAATACCTTTCCAGAAAGTCATCATGTGAGCTCTCCTTCATTGAGGACTCCCCGGCGGAAAAACATGGTTGAGCATCAGGAGTTTCATCAGCCACAGGTGGATTGTACATAAAAGATGATAGCATAGGATCAGCTTCTGTAGTCGATGAAACTACACGTGAGGAACCCTTATGGAAAGATGTCATGTTTCCTTCCTGTAGCTCCTTCCTTAGAATAGTATCTGTTGAATTAGAGCCTCTTTTACATCTCCTTTTGTTTTGCATGTCAAGGAAAGTTTTGAATTTAACATTATTCCAGGAATCTAATCAGGAGGTTAGAAAAACATCGATGGGAGAATAACTCAATGAAGAAGCCTGCTTTAATGCCCTTAAAAGATCATCATACAACAAACAACATTCAAATTTAACCCTTGGCTAGAGTGGCATTTCTACATTTGCTATGACCCTTTTAATCTGATGACATTAAACGATGACTTCAGTGTTGCAATCTCAAACTTAAAAGGTCGGAGGGGCTAAATGTAAAATATCAGAATGACAAATGCTGGACTAACTCTAACAAAAGATTAACAAGAAAATGATGCACACACATCACACACACATGATATTGAGGATAGACATGTTGACAATCATAAAGGATATTCTTAGAAGACTTCCGTGTTGCATAGTTATATGGCCAACCAAATCCATCCCCACCCGTGTTCCACAAATTTTGCATACCTGCATGTTCAAAATAACACAATAAAAATAATAAAAATATCTTCAACATAAATAACCATAGCCATTGACAGGAAATCTAGTCGTGTTTAACACACAATGTGCGCGTGCGCGCTATGAAAAGATAGGGATCAGACCAAACCAACTACTCAAGCAAGGGGATTAACCCACTACTAGGCTAACCATGATCAACACACAATGTATTTCTCCTCAATCGCGCGCAATGAAAAGATAGGGATCAGACCAAACCAACTACTCAAGCAAGGGGATTAACCCACTACTAGGCTAACCATGATCAACACACAATGTATTTCTCCTCAATGATAGATAGGAATCAAACCAAACCAAATACTCAAGCAAGGAGATTACCCACTACTAGGCTAACCATGAACCTCAATATACGGAGTATATAACACTTTTTACAATGGTGACTAATGCAATTTTCAGTCAGCACTTCATCACTTTCCAGATACACAGCACATGAAATTCTACAAATCTTATAGCAAACTAAAGATTTAACGCCGGAGTTGCAACTGCGTGAAATTTAAATGCTTAAAGGGAGAAGCTCAGATTTGCTTGGTTTCCATTCAACATGAAATGAAAGAACACCGATAACTGTTGTAATAGAAAACACTTCATCTCAAGGCCTTTCTTGCCAAAATACATCCACTCAGCTACTAATAGTATATAGGAATTCCAGATACCTGTGGGAGGGATTGGTGAGAGAGTAGAAAATAGTATTTTGCTGTTGTTCCTACTTGCTAACATAGTTCCAGGCTTCCTCATGTATGGAACACAATATCACGTGCAAGTTCTAAAAAGCCCCAAACTTTAGGTGCATAGAATACAGTGTCTTCTTCATCTACATGACAAGTTGACAACATTAGCCAACATCATAGTCAGTAGACTCAGTACAGCATAGGCACATGAACGTAACTCTAGCCGCTTCTCCTCATTGGCATCATACTGATTCCCCAAGTTATATATACCTACCTACCACATAAAGATTAATTCTTCATTTCCCAGTTACAAACTCTAAAACCCCTTTTCCCAGAATAAATTTTAAATACAATTCCAACAATCTTTTCACGAGATCTAGAAATATTGCAAATAGTGAAAAAGAAAACCCAATTTTCTAGGTTTGGAGTTTTCTTGAAAAGTACTCTATAAACAGACTAGTATTTAACTTAACGTATATATATACTCCATTTTCATCCATCATTTGCAATGAGGCCAAAGATTCATTGTTTTTTGGCTTGAGAATATGATGGAATAAAGCAAAATGGCTCACTAAACTGTCTGCGCTTCTTTGTTATGAAGCAGAAGTCAGTCCATTAAATTTTGGACGCGATTTTCACTATGGGTCATCCGGAAACAGTCTCTCTGTTCTTTAGTACAGAGGTAAGACTGCGTACATCCGACCTCTCCTTACCGCACCGTAGGTGGGAGCCTTTGCGGCACTGGGGTAAATGAAAATGAATACTCCATTTAAGCTTTTATTTCAGTGTTACCTCTAAACGGAAAAAGAAAATGGGTAAAAGGAAGTCAGAAGCACAAGCTTGAGTTTTGACTAATCATTCACAAATAGTAGCGTTTGCATCCTCCCAAGAAAGAATTGCTATTCAAACTGGGTAAACACTAAAAGTAAAAACACAATCCGGTCCCTCCACTTTTTTCTTTCCAATTCCATCTGCACAAACTTCAACAAGCACTCACTATTTGCAAAATATGACTAAGGTATATATACCTACCATAATGAATGGGAGATTTCAACTAGTAGAACCTAATCATACTAATTTTCCAAAATTAAGACCGCAGATTAGCTTAAGACTTAAGTACACCTGGTTTGACCAAATTGTCATTCCTTTTAAATTCTCATGCGCACAAACAAACTTCGCCGATGCCCCTCTCCTCTTCACGATTCTTATCGATCGGCTGGGCCATCACCACCGCCGCTAATCGACTTCACTGTCGCCGACGCACCAGATCCATCATTTTCGAATTCACGCTGCTCCGGCTGACTTCATCGGATACCACCGCCAGAGGTTTCTTCTTCCTCCTCCTCTTCTTCGTCTTCTTTTCTGATTTTGGACATTGATTTTGCCAATTTCAAACTTCTATTTCATATTTTCACAAGGCCACCGGGTACTCTGCAAAACTTTTGAAGAAACCAAATCCAAAATCAAACTTGCAAATACTAGACAATACATAGACAATAAGTAGTCAGTAAACAAATAATAAGTTCTAATAATAGCTCAATAGCAGACAATACATAGACAATAAATAGTCATTAAACAGATAATAAGTTCTGATAATAGCTCAATAGCAGAGCAGGTAACGTAAAACTCAGAGGACATTGAACTTACCTTGAAATTGGGAGGAAGGGGCTTATTAGAGATTTAGAATCATCCTAGGGAGGATATCGAACTCGATTTCACGGAAGTAGGGGGAATAGGGGAAGAGACGATGGAATCTAAATAGGAAGGGTAGGAGTAGTTCTCCATGGCCGTGATTACTGCGGAATTGATTTTTTGGCCTTTGTGCGTGTTTAGGCTACCGGCAACGACGGCCTCCCTGAGGAACGGTGCGGAAGAAAAAAGGAAACATGGAGGATGCAGATGATTAGAGGCAGAAGATTTTTTGTTTTAATTTTTAAAACTGAAGGGCAAATTTGGAAAGTTAGAAATAAATTTCCAAATCTAGAATTAAATAGGTAATACAAATGGGAAAAACATTAGGTAGTATTATTTTTGTAAAAGAGATATGATTTGATCCTACCAGATGCAAATTTCTCCATAATAAATTCTATGAGAGGTTAAATACAACTGCGATGAGAGGTTACTATGCTAATAAAAAGGGTGGTCATGTGAATTGGGATCTACAATAAACCAGTAGATAGAGGGTGTCACAAAGGATAAATTTCGGGTTTGAATCATGGCAACTGCGATGAGAGGTTACTATGCTAATAAAAAGGTCCTCTGCAAGTACAAGGGCCAGAGCCCTAGCACCAAGACCTCTGCGGTGATTAAAGTCCAACTTACATCCTCCCATCTAACTATCAGGTAGGTATTAGGAACCCTCAGTAATGAAGTGTCATCCCTTTTTATGAATTCTAGTTTTGAGGGAGATTAAATAATAAGTCATGTTTTTTAGAAATTCATTTTGTTAGTATTTACTTCGTATTTTAAACATTTATTATAAAGTTTTGTAATTGTGTGATTGAGTTTTTGCCACTTTTAGTCCTCCGACTATTATATCATTGACATTTTTGGTACTCGACTTTGAGTTTTTCCACTTTTAGTCCTTCGACTATTATGCGACAGACACTTTTGGTACTCGTCTTTGAAAATTTCCACATTTAGTCCTTTGACTTACGTAAAAGTGACAATTTTGGTATTTCAACTATTATAATAGTGACATTTTTAGTCCTCCATTTATTGTGTCAAACTCATACTTTTTTCCTATCAAGAGTTTACAATAAAAGTCAGGCCTATCAAGAGTTTTTTAGTCCACTTTTGATTATTATGAGCCCTCCATTTTTAACGGGCTCACTTTTTCTCAACTTTATGTAGTTCAGAATTTAAAAACAATAAGGAGTATGTTTTAAACTTAATGATTTATTTTTTTCATTTATCTTTTAATATGACAAGTGCGTTAAGTTAAAACATCTCTTCCACTATTCATTCTTCTTAGATTTTCCTTGGAGGCTTGGACCATAGTCTCGTACTATTGGGCTTCCTTCCAGCCAGCCAACATAGCCAACATATCTTCCCCACAAGTTACAAGTCCCCTCCGATTAACAGCAAATTCTTCTAAACTTTGTCATTCCTCGCCTTTCATAGGCTCCAACAGGAAATAACGAAAAGATAAAGATTATCTTGAGGACAACTAATACACACATTATTTACCCTGGTAAAAAATGTTCTTGCCCAAATTTTGCCACACTTCCTTGGCCAAGAGATAGTCCCTCAACACATGCATGGTACTCTCCTCCCTTTACCCACAATGAGAGCAAACTGATCATACTAGAACTCTCCTATGCACCAACCCTTGTTTAGAAGAAAGACAATCTATGCAAGCCTATCGAATAAATTTTTTAACCTAGGACGGTAGTGCAAGCTTCCATATTTTAGCCCATGCTACATTAGGTTGGTCGCATCTAATCAGCATACAGTAACAAATTCTAACTGAGTATATACATCACTTGCCCAAATTTGCTCATCCGCTCCTCTTCCTCCTCTTAAAGGAATACGTAAAATGAGCTCCACATCCTCTTTGCCAAACAAGTTCACAATAATGTCATGGTCCGACTCATTCCTATCGTAGGCCATCAACGAGTGAACTCGAATATCATCTAAACCGTGGATGACATTATTTTCTGGTCTACCACTCTGTTGTGTGATTGACCATTTATCCTTCCACTCCCGAGTAGTCTCGTCATTCCCATTTCGAAAACTTCATCCCTGCCGATTTGTCGGCATAGCCTCGGTGATACTCCGCCAGGTGAGAGAAGGATTACTCCCACACTTTGGCGTGCAGAATATCCTTGTGAGCAAAGTAGCGAGCCTTAAGCATACTCCCAACAAGAGAATTTGGATTTTTCAGCAATCTTCTCACGTGCTTACCCAACATGGCAATGTCATAATCTTTGGGTCTTTTGAATCCCATGCTCCCTTTAGTTTTATAGGGACACACAAATCTCCTTATCTCTTCCACCGAATGCCCTTTCTTTTGTACGCATGGCCTCTCCACCAGAAAGCATCCACTACCCTCTCTGTCTCATTTCACAATTCAGTGGTAGTAAAAAGACATTCATTGCATATTGAGGCATGGCTTGAATCACTGTCTTGATCAAAACTTCTCTTCATGTCTGGATAGAAATCTGCAATTCTAGTTTTGGAACATCTGAACAACCTTTTCTTTAATGTAAACAAAAATCTCTCTTTTAGTGCGCCCTATCATGGATGACAAACCGAAATATTTGCCTCCTCCTCTATCTTCTTGGACCCCCAAGATACCACTTAAATAGTCTTTATCATCCATGTCACATTTGCACTGAACTGCACACTTGACTTGTGACACCGCACCCGGATGTACTTGAATTTGAAATTTGATATGTATTCGAATTTCCTAGCGAATAAATCGTGTAACAGAATCATTGTTCTAAAAATCGCTCTAGGCACCCGACTAGTCCCCGCCTAGGCGCTAGGCGGTGGTCAGGCGCCCCAATTTTGATCTAGGCGTTCTGACTAATTGATTTGGCGCTTAGATGAACTAGTCGACCATCTAGGGCGTCTAGTTGCCCGCTCAGAGCGCTTAATCGGCCGCATAGGGGTCTAGATTCATCAGACTTTTTTTTGGCGCGCGCTTTTTTATTTTAGTATCCTGAGATATATACATGCCTTAATCTTTAACAACGCATATGAGGAAAGCTACTAGTGAGTAGGTGAGTAGGTATAATATATTATTAAGTGTGACAATTCTATCATTCATACATGTAAATGTGTATGTGTGTGTATAAAAAACACACAAACACAACATTACTAATCATATCTATGCACAAATATCAAGTCTAGTTTGTCCATACCAAATTTCAACTCAAAATTTGATCGGGAAGGCATTCAAATCATTTTTTGAAGTTGACTGAAATTTGGTATGGACAAACTAGACTTGATGAGGAACATGCTCAAAAAATTCCACCGGGAAGGGCCCAAAATGTTCATGTTCGGACGGGTGTTCGAATCAGGAATGTTCGGACCTGAACATTGCTCTATATAAAGTACGAACTTAAATATGAACACAGTGTGAAATTGTACAACAATCGCTACTAAATCAAAATGATTAGATCAACTTGGTAAACTGAAGTGATAGTTATGGCGACAGAAAAGTTGCATGCGAAATTCAATTAGTAAACTACTTAGTAAATGCACTTACAAAGTTACAAATACTAATAGACATGCACAAAGAAGTAAGAGACATGTACATTCCTCATGATCACAATAACCGTTGGAAAAGAAAACACGTAGGTGTGAACATTGGACCGAATAAATTATTAATAAACATGCAACACAATATATCCACTCAGAAATTAAAGATGAACTATTCATGCATTTCTATTATCTACGGCCTATTTATTATATGTGCAGTAAAGCCATAAAGCAAAAAAAAATGCAGACATGCGACCTTCAAAAGTGAAAGGATCAAATACGGAGTATATTTAAAAACAACAATTTATGGGAAGAAGATAAAGATGTAAAATTATTACATTGAATGGAATTCACAAACTGACATGCAAAATATAAATGCATCATAGAGTCACTGGTCTACCAGATAGATTAAAAAAATTATGAAACCAAACGAGAAGAAGACAGTATCCGCACGCAAAACAGGACAAAATACAAAAACGTCTTAAGATTGTTATCCAAAATTCATATATATCTGCACGCATTAATTAGATAAATAGAAGTAAAAGAAAATACTTGTATCAACCGAGCCCAACAAAAGTGTTGTCTCCTTAAGACGTTTTTGCCCGACACACGTAGCAAGCGTCTCCCAGGATAGAACGGTTACGTTCTTCGCTCCCAACGGGATTCCGGCGAACTCAAAGATGCAAAGAAGGAAGATAGAATTTGAGGAATTGTTTGTGAATTTTCGGATGTATCAAAAGTGAAGACAAGGCGGGTATTTATAGAGCTCTGGTCAGGAGTCTCTTAACCCAAAAGACAACTTTTAAAAGAAAGTTCATGACCTTTCTTTTAAAACGAATGGTTGTGTCTTTTATTTGGTTTTATCCGAAAAACGTAGCAAAAATAAATCTTCCTATCTTAAGCCCGATTGTTGACTCGTCAAAGACCCGAACCCGACCGACCGGCGGCGGCAGTGTATGTGTGTTAAGTATAATTTCACGCTTATCTTTTGGGGAATAATTTCTCATTCATTTCAAAATGATTTTTACAAATAATATTAATGACCATAATATTAATTTGTAAAACCATTTTTCCAACACCATGTGAGATTGTAATTCTTTTAAATCTATCGCACTGTTGTATTTATATACGGAGTATTTTCTTATACGTAGTATGTTTTTTTTTTTTGCTGTGGTGGGGCTTGAGTACTTCTTACTTGTGAGATGCATGAATATGTGCCATCATACATTCTTAAGATATCTTTTTCCGACTCAAGGTTTAGTTTTGGTTGATTCATTTTTTTGCTTTTTATTTACTTGTGTAAATATATAGATAGTATTAGGTTAGGTAATTTGGGTCAACTTTCATGGTTCAACATTTCTGGGGGTTAGTCTTGTGGTCATGTGAATTGGGATCGCGTCAAGGGCCAACTTGAATGGGAGGTATATGATGACAGCTTGAATGAACATATTACTCCGTATTAATTATTGAGTTCTCCTCTAACTTCCTTATCAATAGTTTTATTGCACAAATCATGTGGTGGGGACTGGGGCTTGGCAGTACTGTTTGGAGTAGAGGTGTGAGCATTTCATTTGATTCAGCCTAATCCAATTGAAACAGAATCATATGCAATTCTGATTTAATTGGTACTCGGGTACTAAACCGATCTGACCCGAACTGAATCGAAGCGACTTAAAGAATTCATCAAAGCTTTGATATTTTTTTATAAAATAACAAATTCAAAACGAACCTATTCAACACACAATTTGGTTTCAACTTGCCCATAGTTCTCCGGGCCATTTCAAATCGAACTGAAAACCTTAACGCCCACCTGGCCACTCTTGGTTCACGCATAGTCTGACAATGATGGTTGGAGCCTAATGATTATAGCTTGATGCCAATTGAGCTCTGTTTAAAAAGACTTGAGACCCCCAACTTCAATTTGCTCCATATCCCTAATCTCATCTATTGTCAATGCTGGGAAGTATCAGTTCACAACCTCTGGGGTAAAGTAATTCATCACATTTGTGGTAGACGCGCATAGTACAACACAAAGTGGCTTGGGATGACATTTGTCTACCAAAAGAGGAGGGGGGCCTTGGCATCCTTAATGCCAAAATCTGGAATCATGCTCTCCTCTCTCGAACACTTTGGGATGTCCATAGGAAAAAAGATACCCTATGGGTAAGGTGGGTAAATGGGGTCTACCTTAAAGGTAGGAGCGTGTGGGATTTTATCCCACACAATCATGACTCAATGTTCATGAAGAAACTGAGTCACATTCGGGACCAAATCTTGGGGTGTTTTAACAATCTGAATGATACCATTATGGGCCTAAATAGTAGATCCTTAAATGGTAAACTCTGTTCTGGAAAGATTTATGAGTTGCTAAGATCCTTAAAGGGACGCCGAGAGTGTGGATGAGCTTTATTTGGAAATCTTATATCCCTCCGAAGTTCTCATTCAACGCTTGGCTTGCTATGAGGAACCGGCTACCTACGCAGGACAGCCTTGGTTACCTCCATATTGTTAACCGTTGTGACCTGTGCAAGGGTGGATTGGAAACAATACCACACCTATTTTTCCGTTGTCATTACACCTGTAGGGTTTGGAAAAAAATTAAGGAATGGTTGGGCATGACTCGAGAGATGACCACACTATGCAGCGCCGTGAAATGGATCTTGAAAGATCATAAGGGTTCAAAGATCAAAGGGAAGGCTGTCCGGATTGCGTTTGGTGCTGCGGTTTACTACCTCTGGCACGCTAGAAACGCCAATCGATTTGATGAAAAGGATGTGAAGGAAGAGGAAGTCATTGCAAAAATCAAGCATGTGGTGTATAAAATACTCTTCAATTTATACCCGCATGACTTGATCACTTTCTGAGTAGAAGGCCGGGGTTGGATATTATGGAGGCCGCGGTTTTTGTGTTGACCGATACATGTTTACTTGGAGCGCCGATGCATGGACATTATGGATGCCGCGGCTTGGGCTCTTCGTACAACATGGCGTGAACATTATGGATGCCGCGGCATGTAGCACGGTCTTTGATATTTTGGTGTGTGTCTTACCAGCACCTTTTGTACTTTTCTTAGAATTTAGCCTCTGATCTGTGTGCGTGCATCTGCAGCACCGATGTATTTTGAACTTCTTGATGGGGCGGGTTGTCTTTACCTGGTTATTTTTGGCATAGAATAGATCGAATAAAAACCTCCTTTCACCCCCACATTATGTGGTTATGGGGGAGGTTTTAGGAGATCTAGGACATGTGATGTATAGTTTTTCTGGGTGTTAATATATATTTACATTTCATCCAAAAAAAAATAGAAGCTAGGTTTTCACAAATTAAATGAGGGTCCATTTTACTAATAAATTGCCCTCTTAGCATATGGAAGATACCCTAATCCAAAGCCAAAACATTTCGACGCAAACAAGGATTTTTAATTCATAAAATGAAACCGGCTACGAGTACATGATTTGACTTTTGGAACATCCATAATATACAGAGCATTTGGTAAAGTAACTTCCACCACCTAATAACATTCCAGTGATTTAAAAAAGAATATTGCGCAAATGTCACATTAAACAGACATGTATAGTGGCCTACTACAATATTTGATCTCTGGGCCCATAAAACCTGGAGTAGGAAAACCCTTCATACAAGATTACATACAAGGATTAAAGGTAGTTTGAGGTTCGCTGTCTAATAGTAACAAAAATACACTAAAGAATGAACAAATAAGACAATGAAACAGGGGGTCATACCCATTGAGTTGTTATTGTCTTATCAACACGACGAAGACAATGAGAGTAAGACATGAATATGTCAGAATGGAAGATCTTACTCTCAATGAATTACTCTTGGGAAGTAGTTTTGGTATTGAGCACTCTTCACCATTAAAGTAAACCTTGGTTGGGAAACCATCACCAGCAGCAATTTTGATACCAGGGGTATTCTTCTTGCTGAATGAGATCACGGACTGTTGTTTACCCGGCACTCTGGGATCCTTCAGTGGGTTAGCTCCGTCCGTCTCTCCCACCAGAAAGTTGAGTCCAGTAAGCCCTTGCATGAATATCGTGTTGTTGACACCACTCATTATACTACCATTAAATGAGTAGACTGCCTCGAAACCAGATGCACTTTTATCCAACTCCACTGCAGCAAACCAATCAGCAAATGGAGACTCATCCCAGTTAAAGAGTGTCATCCTTGCAGACCATCCGCCCCTGTAGTCTGTGAACAAATGCCAGTTGATACTAACACCACAGTTATCTGCACATGGCAAAGGGTTTGAGACAGAGAAATGATTAAGTGAAGCCCATGCTAATGCCATTTTAGTCCTATTTTCAGCAGGAACCAACAGAGACTGGGCTGGAAGGAGAAGAGCTGGGGATTTGGTACTACAAGTTCTTGGTGTGTTGGCAGGGCAGCCACAGGCACATGTTGGACAAGGAATGACAGATTCATTGTAGTAAGCGGAGAAGGAGACGCAGCATCTCGGGCTTGCTCCCTTCGGTTGGGTGATGTTGCAAACCACTTGCCAGCTGGCAAATGCCGCTTTGTTAGGAAGCAGTCCGCTCGGGTCAGGAAATTCGCTGGGAGAGACGCGGACAGGGGGCCCACATTTGTAATCCGGATTCAGCCGACCGCTGATCTTCCAGTTCTGTGGAGGGGTGAAGGAGGAACGATTCAGATCTGGCGGCATCTTGAACACATTCATCAGGAAGGCAGACACGGATTTGCTGGGGTCCATTGCGGGAGGCAAGATTGTGCCGTTCCTGCAACAAAAAGGAATCATCCCCAGGGTAGTGTCATTGGCCTTCTCTAGAGGTAGGTCAATGATGGTCGGCCTCCTGTCACAGTTCAATACAGTGGAGAAGTCGAGGTCTTTGTAATACTCGCCCTGCTTGCCAAAGATGCACTTGGATGAATCTACAAGTGACGGGTAAGCCCCTTGCATGATATATATGAACTCATCTCTCATCCAATCCCAGCTCAGCTTCCAGTTGTCAAGACGGCCAAGTGGGTTGTGGTTTGCAATGGAAACCTGTGCCCAATAATTTGATTCATAGGTTCTTGTGATATCATACATGACAGTAAGATCACCATCCCGGCGTGGTAAGAATTCCCCATCTCTGGTTAGATTAGCCTTGAATTTCGGGTCTTTTGCACAACACACAAGCATAGTGCTGTTTCCTGGAAGACACGAACTTTAATTAAAACTCAATCTTTTCTTAACAAGTTATAATAACTCATATCAGGTATTCACAGCAAAATAGCAACAGAAATAATGGATTTTTAAATAGCATAATAGTCCATGCTAGTTCCATCAAATTTACCCCTTTAGATGCCTCATTGATGCAGAAGTTTATTATACACACACCCATCTGACAACAAAAAGAATTTAATGTGGGATTCAAAATTTCAATCTTTTTCTTACAATTTCGAATTTAAACGAGAAATATATCAGGTTTGGGCTATATGTCTATTGCAAGATCATGTAGTAACAAATATAAGTCATCATTCATTTGATCATGACCCTTCAACTAAGGACACATGTCTGTCTTTTGAATAACTTGACCAAAATTTCCCAACACAGCTAACTTTGGTTTCGTGTTATATATCCCACTGGGAATTACAAATCACTGGCCGCATCAGTCTATCACTATCAGCAAGTAAGTTACCGGGAAAGGAAAAAGAAGTAACAAAGCACAAACCTCGAATAGAGGGTTTAGGACACAGGAAGCCATCATTGACGAGAGAGATATTGGATGGCATGGGAGCATTCACTAAACCTACTCCGAACTGAGTACCAACTAAGTCAACCTGAACACTCGTCTGAGTCAAATCACCGGCAGTCTCAATTGCAGTCTTCAGATCCGAATTCGGGAACCCTGCGAAAACAGTTCCGTTGCCCACGGCCGCCGGTAACGAAGTCCCGTCGTCGAGGACGGCGTTGGAAGCGGAGACGAGGAACTCATCGTGCTGAAACCCGACGAAGACTCGCCAGGACTTGACCTCGTCAAGGCCGTTGTTGGTGATGCTAAGAGTGGACTCAAATCGGTAGGGTTGACGGGTCTTGACTGTAGGCTTTAGAATGGAGCCCGAGGTGTAGACGTACTGCAAGAAGATGCCGTTACAGTCGTCGGCCGGAGAGGAAGATGTAGATTTCTGAGCGTGGGCGCAGTATATCTCAAAGCCGAGGAGGAGGAGAAGAAGGCAGAGAGACAGGGATGCCATTTTCTGTTTGAATCTGTTTTGACGAACTCAGTTCAAAATATTTGTGATTGAAAATTATTATACTCCGCAGCAAATTGTTTCTGACAACAGCATTAGAGCGTTGTCGTAAAGTGTGAAAGGAAAATGCGGCAGAGTGAGGGGGAGGCACGAAGAACAAGCTCGTTCAAAATAAGCTTTAGCGACAGCCTAGTGGAAGCTGTAATCGCGTTCTCATACAAAATTACAAACTCAGATTATTATACTTCGAAAAATAATTTAAATATCTCAAGTTTCAAAAAATAATTTAGAGCACATTTGTTGAACACGTGACTCATAATTTCAGTCGTTTTTTAATTTTTAATTTCGCGCACTGAATAATGTAATAAAAAAATAGAGTTAGAAGACCATTTTAGCTATTTATTCATGTAATTTTTTCTTTATTTTATTAATAAAATATATTTTAAACATATTTTTTCATGAATCCGATGAATCAACCAATCTAGTCACTTCAGCTCAAACTTCATAAATTTCAGTGGAATTAACCAGAATAGTCAATTTTAGTGTTACCAAACGGACTCTTAATCTTATCATCAATATATTATATTATAACCTATATATATTTAGTTTTGACCGAGTTTACTCGGCATTGATCGGGTTGATTTGTCGTGTCTTGGGTGACCATTGAGTCTATGACCCAATCATCATACGAGTAAATAGAAGTGAAGTAAATGGAAAATTATCCTAAATAAGATTAAAAATGTCTCTATATTCAAAAATATGACGATCATGTTTTCTTCCTTAAATTAGTTAAATAAGAGTAATTAGAGTGAATTCCCCAAAACATAGGTAAAATGCAAAAATAAGAGTATCATGTTTTGATTATGAGTAATTTTAGTGTTTGAACAAATATACCCATACCCAAGCCTCATGCCCCAACCACTTTCATTAATAATTAAAACATAAAAGAAATAACATTAATTTGTATACTAAAAATGAAAAAATATCTTAAATAAAATATACTCCGTACTAATTAAAATTAATAAAAAAATTATTAAAATAAAAAACTATTAAATAATAAACTAACAAATTAAAATAAAAAATGTAAAAAATATTTAAAGAAATGCAGCCCTCTGTTTCCGCCTCAACAACCTTCCAACACCACTAGCTCCGACCACCGGAACAAACGTCAACATTTGTTAGAAATGTCATCTTGATGGCAGTTTGGGGGGGGGGGGGGATTGGCATTTTCAAAGAGTAAAATGTCATCTTTATGACATTTTCAAAGAAAAATGGTAGTTTTACATATAATGACATTTTATTCGCCGATCGAAGGTTGTATTGTTGGGCGGTGGACGTGGCTGCGGGAAATGCCTCCATAATTTTTTAAAGTTTTAATGTGTTTTATCCATGATTCTAAAAATTGGCCTAGACGCCCTGTTAGGTCCCTCAGACTTTGATGGTTTTGATGATGTCACCCTCTTGTTTGGTTTAGACTTTCATTCAAGTACTAGACTTATCTACTGCTTGTCTCACATTGTGTAGATTGTAGTATGTTCCACATTTGTTAGATACAAGTACTCACAGTACCATAAAAAAAAAAGAAACAAAAAGATCAAATGAAGAAAAGGTACGCAATTAAGAATGTACAATCTTTGTACAAATAAAATATACTAGAAGTATAAAATGCAATAAGGTAAATTCTTTTATCGGATATTCAAATCCAACCAGTATAACTTTATTTGATATAAAGATTGACTTGTCACTAAAATTCAACTAGTAAATTGTTAAAAATTTACATGTACACTTTCTGTACCAAATAAATTGCGCTGGGAATATAAAAAACAATAAGGTAATTTTTCTTTACCTTGAAAGGATATTTAAATCCTACCAATATAAAATTATTTGATACAAAAAGACTGAAGTCACAAATTTACTAAGTCCACAGTATCTACAACAGCACGGGACACTACACACGCAGAGTTAAGTAGGTGAAAAGTGCGTAGAAGGCCTAGGTATGGGTTCACATATCCTACTTGCAAATTGATCCAATTGCAGCTGAAGAAGATAATCTACTCCAACACAAGAAGATGAAAGTACAAAACTTTGGACGTCAACGATTAAAACCTCTCAACCAACGGAGGAGATTAATCAACCGGAGATGCCTATAAATAAAGGCATAAGCATGAGTTCATATTCAAGCTTTTGAGAATCTTCTAAGCAGAGGAATCATACTAAGCATTCAAAGAGATACCTAGCAAAAGAGAAAGTACTCGTTTAACTTTGCTCTCTGCTTAGACTCATGCTTCACTAAACTTCCGAGTTAGAACTCTCATTGCCATATTCTGGAAGTTTAGTTCTTAGTTGGAGGCTAGAAATTGTGTTAAAATATTGAAAATGTTGTAAACACTTAGAAGGACAGTGTTATCTAGTCCTAAGTGTGGTAGAATAGAATAGAGTACCTTTTGATCCTCACTGGATCAATTGAGAAAATCTAAGGACTGAGTAACTTGGAGTGGTGTGTACTCTTTGTGAAACACCTTCAGGTCTGAGCTAGTTGTGTGATAACAGCCAGACGGGCAGTAAGTGTATTGGGCTTAATACTTTAGTGAAAATCCATCTGAAAGAGGGTGGGACTAGATGTAGAAGGATTACACCACCTCTGAACCAGAATATATTGTGTGTTGATTCATTTTCAGTCAACAAAGCACACACCAAACACTTCTTCAACTTAGCAGAAACGTGAGCAGTAACCTCAGCAACAGTCTACTGGCCACTCCTCTGCTCACCTCTCTGCTAAGCATACTGCTTGTCCATACACTTGTTTAAAGACATCTCAATGCTTTAGAGGTCTTCTTCATGTTAGAACCGGAGGATAAAAATAGTGAATTATAAGGGTGTGAAATATGGCTGAACCGGATATCACTTCTAGTCACGTATCAAATACGCTTTCCTAAAAGTTTACTATCTACCCTTATCACAGTAACCGGGTTACAAGATAGAACTTTTGGGATAAAAAGAAGGTGTGCAGTGTATTTTGGTTACTAACAAAATAACACTAAACAAGTGATTTGTACATAAAGTGGTCTAAACACTTCAATACTAACGCTGCAGATATTAGTATTTAGTAAGGCAAGAGAAGATTGAAAAATTGATTTTTCATACGTTTATCAATCCCACATGGTCCTAGTATTTATAATAAAAGTGTAACCCTTCGAAAAAGCAGTTAACAAACTTGCCGAAGTGCTCTTTCATAGAACGGATGAAAAGCCTTCAAATAAACGAAAAGGTGCTGCTCTTTATAAAAGTCATGTACGTTCTTTTAAATCATTTCCATTTAATTTACATTTAAAAATTGAACACCAATAAGTGTTCCGCCATGTACGTACATGGATGGCCAGTTCTAAAGTAAAATTTAACATTTATAAAGAGCACATTAAGTACAAATGAAATAAAGTAACATTATTATAATTATTAAGAGATACACGTGCACATGTGTTCTCTTAATTTATATAATAATAATTATTACATTTATAAAACATCATTTAAAAGAATTACATCGATTATAAAATGATTAAGGACCATGTAAATACACAATTGAGTTTTATTTTCAATAAATCTCCAACAATCCTCCTCCATTTATTGAAAATTAATAAACTCAATCCTTGCCAAATAGACCACTCATCAAGACTTATGCATAATTGAAAGTGTCGTAACGATTGAACTTTCATTTAGTGCAATATTCTTTACAATATTTCGGATCATAATAGTAGACTAAGCTTTGAACTATACAAACACTTTGAAATGCTGAAGATATTACACACACAAGTCTTTATACAATTTCACTTAGAAACTTGACACCATTAACGGCCTTGTGTCCATATCCATTCATGAGCTCCAACAAGTAAAGCCTTAAACTTGGTGAATCGGCCGCAATTCTAGCTCACATAGGTAGACCTTTTCAAATTGTGTTCTGCAATCAAACACTTTATCAAAAGATCTATTAAGACATAGTCAACCTTATTACACATTGCAGACTCAAGCACTTACCTCGGGATGGTTATAATTCAAAAGTGCTTCAATCACGGAGTGACTTACTCATCATCATTGAACTCAAGATCTAGCGTTGTACTAGACGTTGAGTTGTGCTTTCTTTCACTTGTGATTATTTTCCAAGGGCTTTAACCCCATCCCTTTTGCAGTTTTGTACACCATGTCTCTTGGCATCGCTTTTGTAAAAGGATCCGCCAAATTCACATGCGACCGTACAAAATCAATCACAACAACTCCAGAACTAATAAGTTCCCGCACATAGCTGTGTCGCACTCCTATGTGCCTTGACTTACCATTGTACACATGGTTATAAGCTTTCGATAGAGTTGATGCACTATCACAATGGATTGATATCGGAGGCATTGGTTTAGGCCATATCGGAATTTCCGACACTAAATCCTTTAGCCATTCCGCTTCTTTACAAGCTGATGCTAAAGCTATAAACTCTGAAGCCATGGTAGAGTCTGTGATACAAGTTTGTTTCTTAGATGCCCATGATATAGCACCTCCTCCAAGAAGGAATAACCATCCACTTGTGGATGAATAATCCTCTTGATTAGTTATCCAACTTGCATCCGTATAACCTTCTAATATAGAGGGTTCACTCTTATAACATAAGCCGAAGCTCATTGTTTTCTTTAGATATTTCAGCACTCGCTTCAAGGCTTGCCAATGAAATATACTAGGATTACTAGTATATCTACTTAGCTTTCCTACCGCAAATGCAATATCTGGCCGGGTGCTAGTCATTGCGTACATCAAACACCCAATCACCCTAGCATATTCAAGCTGTGATACAGCGTTCCCATTATTTGGAACTAATTTCCAACTAGGATCCATGGGAGTGGAAACCGGTGAACAATCCAAACTCCCAAATCTTTTCAACACTTTCTCTATATAGTGAGATTGTGTTAAGGTGATAGTATCACCTTGCTTGATTATCCTAATTCCAAGGATAACTTCCGCTTCACCCATATCTTTCATGGAGAAGTTTGAACAGAGGAAAGCCTTTGTCTCATTTACTTGCCTCAAATCAGTGCCAAATATGAGCATGTCATCCACATATAGACAGATAATGACACCATTACCATGCTCATTAAATTTGCTATACACACACTTGTCTGATTGGTTAATTTTAAAACCATTTTTCAGCACCACTTCATCAAA